ACAGAACAACTGTGTCAACTCTTGAAACTGTGCCTGCAGTCAACCTACTTCACATATGGGGAGCAATATTATAGGCAGAAACATGGGTGTGCTATGGGGTCTCCAGTTTCTCCTATTGTTGCCAACCTGTACATGGAGGAGGTAGAAAAGAGAGCCTTGACGTCCTTTTCAGGGACACCACCAAGTCATTGGTTCAGGTATGTTGACGACACCTGGGTTAAAATCAAATCTCAGGAAGTCCAACATTTTACTGACCACATCAATTCTGTGGATAAATACATCAAGTTCACACGAGAAGATGTAAAAAATGGCAGGTTGGCTTTCTTGGACTGTGAGGTCTCAGTCTCTGATAAGAGGACATTTGCAAACCGAGGTGTACCGCAAACCCACCCACACAGACCAGTACTTGCAGTTTGACTCCCATCACCCTTTGGAGCACAAGTTAGGAGTCATCAGGACTCTGTACCACAGAGCAGACAGCGTCCCCACTAATTCAGGAGCCAGGCAGAAGGAGAAATCCCACACAAGACAGACTCTAGAGCAATGTGGATATCCTAACTGGGCCTTCCTGAAAGCAGAGAAGAAACCCAAACAGGACTCCAGTCAGCCAACAGGGGAAAAGGAGGAACCCAGACCAGTGGTCATTCCGTATGTTGAGGGAGTATCAGAGAAACTGAGACATTTATTTTCTAAACATAACGTCCCAGTGGCTTTTAAACCCCAAAATACATTACAGCAAAGACTGGTTCATCCCAAAGATCCAGTCCCCCGGCACAAACAAGAGTAATGTTTTGTATGCTGTTCAGTGTCAGGAGGGCTGTGATCAGTCTTACATCGGGGAAACTAAACAGCCACTGGCCAAAAGGATGGCCCAGCACAGAAGATCAACATCATCAGGCCAGGATTCTGCGGTCTACACTCATCTCCAGGCCAGCGGTCACTCTTTCAGGGATGAAGATGTTCACATTCTGGATAGAGAGGAACGATGGTTTGAGAGAGGAGTAAAGGAGGCCATCTTTGTGAAAAGAAATCGTCCATCGTTAAACAGGGGTGGAGGCTTCCGGGTTCAACTGTCCCCCTTTTACAGTTGTAGTATGACATACGGATGAGATATATTCATACTGTTAAAACGGATTCTTTCATTTTTCTGGACTGTATAACATGCGTGCATTGAATTTAATAAAATGTGGACGTGAGACGTTAATTATCTTTGACTCACCAA